CTGACAACCCCGTAAATTAAGTTACATTCCATGTGGCAGGTTTGGGCTCTTGAAAACGAGAAGGCTGTGGCGAAGAAGAGTAGTCCCCCATTTACAGTGAACGTAACCTCAGCAATGTCACATTCAATCACACTGGGTGCACTTAATTAGACACACTCAACAGTTTTGGCTCCGGCCGATGGGAGAACATTGAGCGTAAACTGGTATACAAGTACAGAGCCATAATGTGCAGATATATCCAAACAATCTTCCGATGACGACAACCACCAAACGATAATGATGACGTCACACGCTCAAATAGTTTGTAATTGCAAGAATTAAATTCATCCTCATTTACCTGGTAACATCATCGTTTTCGTTAATAGATATTCTGTGATCTTATCTAGTTTGAATTATCACTATTGCCTTGATGACGCAAAGATGTGGAGGGTCCTTGGGGATGAGTAGTGATTGGGAAACCAAGTGACGTCACTCATTCATAAACGTTGTGTTGTGTATTATTGCGCAGCTACGATGAGAAAATATGAAATTTGAATCTATTCGACCATAAAATGGTGCAATTTTATGGTGTGTAAGAAACAGATCACTGTACTCATGTCTGTCAAATACCATTTATCTTAAACTCGTTGTTTCAAAACGTATTTAACCCCCTGGATGCCGAGGGTTTTTTTCAGGCGCACATTTTCATAAGGTTTGAAACGTGAACGTTGTGCGAGAATTGCGGTCACGTGGTCCTGGATATGTGTACGACTGTAAAATTACACAGACATGTACACTATTGAATTTCCTATCCGTTGGTATAAATATAAGTGCAACTACCGCTGCGGTTTGAGAAATAGACACTGCTAAATGTTGTCCAAAAGTTTGTGATGCGTTAAAAAAACGGTAAATTTCAACCACTTTTTATCGTGCAGTGATAATAAAGCTGTGCTACGATTTTTCTATTTTGCATATTTACGGAAAGTGTGATCGAAGAAAATACAGCCTTATATCTGAACGACATTAGTGTATATGAAATGGGTGTATGTGCCTATGCATAACGTAATACGCTCAACATTAAAAATGACTCGCAATAGATGTAAAAAATAGATTTTCTTCTATGACGTCAAACGACTACAGAGAGGTCATATTTGTATAAAGATAAGGGGGCATAACTCCGCTATGCTTAAAACTAGGTCAATGTAACTCGGCTCACTTTGAGAGGATTTGTTGTGGATACGGACGCTATATGTTCGTTATGTTTTGTTCACGGTGAACCAAACTATTCCATCAGAAAGTTCCCCAGTGTGAGCGGATACGCTTTGGCAGTTTTACAATTTATAAGAAAAGATGACAATGTACTACAAGAGAAAGCACGTAATAGCGGTTTGGATGGCCCTATCTGATATATAAGTTAGTTCTTAGATATACATTTTCTACCGTTTTTGTACATGCATTTTGACTAATTTGGCATCATTATTAACGGAGTACGAGCCTTATCTTCAATGTAATGAAATTACTGAAAATAATTCATTCCTTGTTTAATGGATTTAGCGACGTCGGAAATTGAAGACATTCGGTATGCTGATTAGTATATATCTTACCTAATTTCCATTAATTGTATAAAAGATCTCGGGTTCTATGTCAGAATTTAACACTCTTACACAAAACATAAAATGACTGATTTTGCCATTTAACTAGTGTCCTAAACATATCAACAATTGGACGGTATGACTGCGTATTTTATTGTGAGCAACACGCACACCTGTTTGGCATCAATTTAACGTAAATGAAAAATAAAATTTCACAACATCCGAATATGTTTTTAGGATAAGAATTTTCTTTGGTTATGATTATGTATCTATTTCTCTTCATATGTATGCAATGAAAGATGCAAAAAGTAGCTTTTTTGTATGAAACTATTAGAATATGGGTGTAAGATTTGTCCAAAGCTAGACATGACATAGTTTATATATTTTTAAACAATTTTCGCATAAATGTAGTTAGAGTTTGATATCATGTCATCACAATATATTTTGATTGAATATGAACAATGATCGTGAATCATAAAATGATTCTGGCAAACGCACACCTGGCCAATCAATACACATCATTGTTTTCTCTATAAAACGACACAAACAAATTGAATAAACAAGACAATTCCTTTAAATATGAGTGCATACACATTTTATACAAAAGTATAAATCAGTTTCTTTAATATTATCAGTTTTACTTATAAAGTTGAATTAAATCTATGTTCATTAACCTGTTCATATGAAACTGCAATTAGACCCAATGTATTGGATCTTGTACCTCATAGGAACTAAAGTACATGTTGCAATTATGGCTACGTTTCATCTTCTAACAATTGTTTAAAGGTTTAAATATAGTGTACTACATTAAATGTATCACTTTCTTATGTAAATATTATTGAAACAATCAAAAACTCTTACAGAATAAGAAAACGTATACCCAATATCCACGTATGAAAATATATTGAACATGGCTAAATGTAGATACTGAATTAGTTTCATGAAAAAAATATCTGAACGATACGCAAAATATACATCAAAATACTGAAAGTGTAATCGGAAGGATAGGGCGATTGTGTTTACTCTTGTTCAACCAACCTTCATCTAAAAGAAATTGTCCAATGTGTACCACAATGTGGACGTATGACATCACTACCGATGACCGTTTTCTTACTAATGGCGGCTTCGCTGACAAGGGTACATATGGGGAAAATTTATGGGGAATTTAGTGATGCATGTTTTGAAGCTAAATATAAAATATACGTGATCTAATAGGCGTCCCAACGCCGGTCTTGGCGAAACGTGATTTTGTAAACACTATCCAATATGGCGGCAAGCGCACTTCGGCGTTCGTGTAAGTGTATTTTCGAAAACATCCCAACCGATTCTAGGTACATCGGCAACGTTTAAGAATTATTCATTAGTGATTTCATGAAAAAGTGATATCAGTGATCATGAATATGTTATTATTGAAATTCAATACTCCTATTAAATATCCGAGTTTCACATTTCAAAACATACAGCAAGAAATGCTGTGAATCGCGATTTCGTACTGTGTCAAAAATGGTGACATTTTCGATGAAGCCTATTATGAAAGGTTATTTTCAGCACTTTAGCTTTGTCTAAAATAATAGTTGATGGTATCAAGAAACAGGAAATTTCCCGTAGAATTCGAAACTGTGAAGTATAATTGTGTGCGTGGGATATTTTTATTGGACTTCAAAGTGAGGGTTGAAGGTGAAGGATATACTGTCCATGTGGCACCCAGGGGGTTAACTCGCTTTCGCTCGTTAAATACGTTTTGAAACAACTCGTAAGATAAATGGTATCTGACAGACACTCGTTTAGTAATATCTATGTTTAATTAGTTTACAATGTTACATTGTGTAATAACATCGCGTGACGCCGTACGTATGACGTCAAAATGGTTTACAGTTATGACGTCACATACTAAAACCTCTGTCACAATAATATTAGACCTTGTTCGACTCGCGGAAATCTGAGTCATCACACTCGTTAAATTCTTAGGAAAGAAGGAGTTTGCTCGATATTATTTTGCTAATGTTGGGTGAGTAATAAATACAATACTAAACTATGTCCCATGTAATACTATATTTATGAACGCCTTTCGCTCGTTATATACCAAACCATTCACTCTACTGATACGACGTGATGCATGGTTAGTAACGAAAGTTGTGCGAAGAATATCCTCCCAGGATTAAGCATTAATGAAAAATCACCTGACTGTGATGATGGAACATTAAACAAATAACATTTGGGTCTTTACGATTTTATTTCTCAGTCTTATTCATTGTCTAACACTGTTACAAGCATAATGCACTGTACCCGTTACACCAAAGGGGCAGTGTGGCGTTCTGTGTTTAGACTTGTGCTTTATTGCGTCTGATTTCTGCAAGATACTGTCGTAACTGGCGTTTGGCCTTTAGTAAACCCTACAAAAGTTACCTACTAATTGTGGCCGTTCCCATTGTCAGGGGAACATTGTAGCTCTGGCACCCCACTCACTTGGTCCGTTGCAGGATGCTAAGTCCAGGAGTGAGGGGTCGGACGATCGTGACTCCTAGCTAACCGCATTACATTTATGTACTGGCACACATACACTCATAGATAAACGCAACACCAAGTTTGATATTCACATAGTTTACTCTGTGTAAGTCCATCGCTAAATACAACTTCATCAACAGACAGGGTAGGCTCGTACCACGCGGGGCGACTGACTGGTGTGGACTGGCTTCCGTCACTTAAAAGCGCGCACCACTCGCTCAGTGCCAAACCTGTCTTTTTATATGGTTCGATCCTGGCCTGATCTTGATCACATGTTTCAACTCATCGTTTTGATTCGTTATCCGTCCCAGCACTCATGAATATTATGATTGGAAATTATCAGTAAGTACCGTTCGGTAACTTTCCCTTTTATTGATCTGTTATTGTGTTCTGTGTCTCAAGACAGACACATATCTAACTTATGGCTAAACGCCATTATCTTTAGACTTTCTGTCTCCCAACAGTGTCTAGCCGTTATCAATCATGAGCCAAACTGTAAATCTATATAGGGAGTCTGATGTACTTCTCTTACTGATTTAGGGATGCATTTTTACCTTATAACAATACTACTATTTGTACTACAGACCCGAGGGCTATTCCACTATATTTTGACCCAGTGAGTTGCAGAGTCTTCTGGACTCTTTGCCTTGGGTATATGGTGGAGCTGACTCTTGACTCAAAGCTCACATTACATCTCAAGTTACAGCGTTCTAGAATGTACTATACCCTTGTCAGCCTTCACACTAAATTTTGACACAGGAAGAAGGAGAATCTTCTGTGGTCTGTACGCTGGTATATGAGGGTTAACACTTGCCATGCATCGCACATTGCATGTGTTTAATTTGAAACGCCCTGGAAATCTTCATAGATAATGCTGATCAATTTGTATTATATTATTATTACAATATTATTTTTTTAATGCAGTGGCCTCAAAACCCAAGTCGCCATGGGTATCCAGACCCCAAGTATCTCCAGGACCAAGCACTCCAGAGGAAGACATTTCTAACATATCAGCGACAGCTCGACGCCTATGGAAAAGACATCGACAACTTGGTCTGGGAAATAGAAGGTTTTAATAATAATAATAATAATAATAATAGTAATTATGAAAAAGCATTTGAATTGTTTAGGGTAAATTCTTCCATAGCAGATGGAGGATATCTCTCCAGGTGTTTAAAGTTGAATAGAGAGCATCAGGCATGAAATACTGTGCCTTTGGTTAGAGATGGGATTACCTTTTAGACGCTAACATCTGAGTCTTAATAATGCCCCTGACCTTTCATTTAATCAGTTGGTTGGTTTGTTATTTAATGCCGCACTCAGCAATATTCCGGCTATATAACGACGGTCTGTAAATAATCGAGTCCGGACCAGACAATCTAGTGACCGACATATATAGCATCGACCAACGCAACTTGGATACGATGACATGTGTCAACCATGTCTGCGAGCCTGTTAGTCGCCTTCTACGCCTCACCTCTTACAACAAGCATGGGTTACTGAAGATCAATTCTAACCCGGATCTTCAAGGGTCTGATCATATGTAACTGTCTACAACTTAACCTATCCACACACAGTCTTTATTGCATGAAGTTGTGTAAAATGCAATGAATACCTTTCTCTCTCATGTACATGTTGTTTTTTTACAGGTATGTTCTGGCCCACCTGGATGGATAAGTCTCAACATCAAGGTAAATTTCCAAATAACGTCGACGCTGCATCAGAGATGGTGTCACTGATGGTTCAGAGCTGCAAGGACTACACAGGAGGACGCCTTCCCGCTATTTTTGAAGTCGTCAATGAACCCGATTGGGACGAACCGTATCTTGACCAACAAACGAATATAGACTTCCACAAGGCGGTCGCCGACAAACTGAAATCAAGATTTGGAATGAAAGTTGCCGGACCATCGTACACCAGCATGGCTTTACGACAATCAGATGTAAATACCTTCTGGAAGAGAACTTCAAAGTTTCTGGACATGTCTCTTGATCACTTGGACTATTTCTCGTTCCATTCCTACAACCATCTGCATGATGTATCAGGTCACAGCTATGCTGGCATCAATGAAGCTCGTCTGTTTGGTTCTCTTGACATGGTGGAGAATTATTCCCATATCAAGAAAGGCAAAAAAGTTGAGTTAGTAAACACCGAATTTGGATTAGGTTTAAATAGCTTACAAATGGGGCCCAATTTTGAGAATGCAATGACTGACTTTCAGACAATATATCAATCAAACGGTTTCATGTTTTCTTTCCTTAACTTGAGAGAGTTTATGAACACAGCCACCACGTTTCTTCTTTCAAATGAACAATACCCAGGTCACACTTCCCTTCGGAATTCCTTATTTACACAAGACGGCCATCCTCTTACGTTGTCGAAATTCTACACATTTTGGAAAAACTTTATTAACGATCAAAAGTTTCTCCGGGTCTCTAGTCAGTACAATGGGCAGGAGAAAACAGTTTCACCTCTTGCCCTTGCAAACCCCCACACCAAAGAGATGGTAGTTCTTCTCCACAACTTTGGTAGTAAATCTGAGAATGTGAAACTGGATTTTCCCAGCAACTGGATCAATCCTTCTTCAGGTCAACAGACATGTATTCAGTTCGAAAATGGTAAGACAGCTGTACATCTCAATACCAATTTTGACAGGTCAAAACTTCATGGTAGTGTTAGTCTTCCTGCAACATCAACCTGCTTCTACAAATTTAAAACCAACTTCAACTTTGCTGGACTACACACAGATAACCAAATCACATACTACGGCAAGGGTATGCTCATCCCCATTAGCAACGGACATGCGCAGACGACCATCAGTGTACCGAGCTCTGGTTACCATGAGGCTCGTCTTAGAGTTGGAATTAGCCGAGCCAAGAATGCCGATACAAAACCTAAGGCAGTTACGTTCAATGGCCGTGCATTGTCTTCAAGTTACATGCTGTTTGACTCTATGAAGGTTGAGGGGAAAACAAAATGGAACGTGTGGGAATTCATCGTCCCTGAATCACAAGTCCACACAACCAACACCATCAGTATGACCTTTGATGGGAACGGTGGTCAGGTAACATCCGTTGCACTCATTGCTGGAAAACTCGGTAAATAAAGTATATTGTTTAATACTTCGTTGCTTTCATTCCTCTGTTTTTAGCTTGGGCATTCCAGGAAAGGCAACAACGCAAGCTGATTATATCCCATGCATGCGGCCTTCATGAGGTTCCTCTTCTCGTTACGCCGAAGACCCCCCCCCCCCCCCCCCTTGTTCTCGTCAGGCCCAGTTATCTGTATTGATTGTAAATAGTGATGTCACGATTTGCCAATGGACCAGTGCGTCCCTGGCAATCTTTATACGATGCCATACACGATGAATTTGTTTTATATTAATTCATATTTAACATTTATCGATTGTTTGCTTGACCTTTAACGCCGCAATTAGCAATATTCCAGCTTTTTGATGGGGGTCTGTGAACTATTGAGTCTAGACCAGACAATCCAGTGATTGACATCTCCTGACCATCGATCTGCTTTAAAAGTACATGCCTCGATCAAATCAGTGAGCCTGAGTGAGCTAGTAGTGAGTTACTCGCTTACTCTTATGACAAGCATAGATTGCTGAACCCGTGAAGGTCGGGTTCGAATGAACCTTCAGTAACCCTTGTGGTCGTAAGAGGCATCAAACGGGATCGAGTGGTCAGGCTCGCTGGCTTGGTTGACATATGTCAACAGTTGCCAATCGCGCAGATCGATGCTCATATTGTTGTTCACTGGGTTGTCTGGTCCAGACACGATTATTTACAAACCGCCGCCATATAGCTGGAATATTTCTGAGTGCGGCGTAAAACTAAACTCACTCACCCACTCATAGATTGCTCAAGACCCGGATGCTCACAAGTATCTTTGTATGAGTGAGTGAATCTGAGCAGTTCGGTAATGCAACGTATGCAAACTACAATATTATCATCATGTTACTATACACATAATAAACCGAATAAAGGCAAATAACTGCAGTGAAGGGCCACAGTCAGGCAGATTAGACTCATCATCAGCTCGGGCCCTTTTCTCTTTCTTAACACCTCCCAGACAGCGCTGCCTATTTGATCCAACTTTCTGAAGAAGGTGTAGACTTCTCAACACTACTGCTTTCCCTGTTACCCAGATCTGTTCCTGTCAGGAAACTGGGGTAGTCTCCCAATGTGGCGGTACCAAATCTAAGGCATCAAAAACAGTGAAGAGCCAGTCAGCACGGTACTTATGAAACATGAAGTTCGTAGCTGAGGTCTGCATACTTGCCATGTTGTTCTTCATTTGAGTTAAAAGGGACAGAAAATTCAATATACGTGTCTATTCCAAAGAAATTCATGATTGTTGTTTTACATGACGTCCTCAACATATTCTGCGTGGTACCGTATTCAAACATAAGGAATGGAAACATGTAAACAATTAATGATTCCCTAATGCTGATGACCTTATGCTGATGACATTAGCTCGACCTGCAACATTCATACCACAATAACCAAGAAACCTGAGAAATACAATACTGTCACGATAAAAAATTACTCACTCTCTCACTCAAAGTTTTAATAAAGATAGTGCCATGAACGATGAGAGACTCACACACATGCGTTTGATTACATAATGGCTCGACCCGTGAAGGTCCGGGTTAGAATGAACCTTCAGTAACCCATGCTTGTCGTAAGAGGCGACGAACGGGATAGGGTGGTCAGGCTCGCTGAGTTGGTTGACACATGTCATCGGTTCCCAATTGCGAAGATCGATGTTCATGCTGTTGATCACTGGATTGTCTGGTCCAGACTCGATTATTTACAGACCGTCCCCATATAGGAATATTGCTGAATGCGGCTTTAAATTAAACTCACTCACTCACTATACTGAATACACCCTGTCGTAAAGTGTCTGTGAAAAAACAACGTCCTTCCTTCAATGGATTAACCGCCAGTACGTTGATTGATTGCTCATTATTGGCTAACTGAATTACTTTTTTAAAGAAGGGCGGGCATCATACAATTATTTGGAAGGGGTGCTATCTCGGGTGACCAATGAGACTATACACCAAGGTGAAAAACCTGAAACGAGTCCTATAACTTTTTCGCACATTAGACTGTTAAAAGACACATGATATGGAACAGGAACAAGGTATAATAGCCTGACATTGTTCCCATAACTACAGTCTGTTTTAATTATAATATTTTTGCATTTTGTCTTTATTCATTTGTTGTAGCATTCAACAGAATCATTTGTTTTTGCCGTGCACTGTAATGAGACAGAACATACACTAGGTCGCACTTAGGGCGCGTGTGTGAAATATGATTCACTTTGGCAATATATAAAATATACAGATATTACAGTCATGTTATAAATTCTCCATAAGCATTTTATAAGCATATCGTGTGCTTTTTATTAAGTTTGAAAATGCATACAAATATGAAAATAAACTAATCAGGATTATAAGAAAAATTATATAGACGTACATTGACTTTGTTCTGATTTAGTCCTAACCTTTTTAAGCACTGGCAGATGGTTAAACTACAATTTTTTTTATTGGTTACCATCATAATGAAGATGGAAATATTATCGAGTAAAAACGATTTCATCTTTGGTGATCAATCTATGCTTATACTAACAATTGCGCATGCGGGTGGCGCAGCAGGGGTCACGAACCAGCTAAGAATTCTGGGATATCATCCGGGTACACACAGGAGAAAAACAATAACAAAAGCAACAACCAGTCCACGGAAATTGTTCTGCATCAGTGCCCCTTTAAGCCCTAAATGAAGCAACTTTACATTTCTTCAGGTTCAGGGTCTGTTAATATCTGCAAGAAAATTAACTAACTTTGGGGGTCGGGTTACAAAGTAGACATATCTAAGTGTCATGGCTGGCCAGACCAACATCCTCACCAGTGGTCTTGAATCTCGCCTCACATTTTCATCTGTCAGCTCTTAGTTAACAGACTAACTGGATTTGGTGGTCAGACTCGCTGGCTTGGTTGACAAATGTCATCGGTTCTCAATTGCGCAGATTGATGCTCATGCTGTTGATCCCTGAATTGTCTGATCCAGACTCGATTATTTACAGACCTCTGCCATATAGCTGTAATATTGCTGAGTGCGGTGTAAAACTAAACTCACTCACTCATTTGATTAACACGGGGTGACACAAGCTATAGTGGAGGCCTTGTGTACAGTTTCTGATGTTTAGAGACAAATCAAGCAAAAACACATCAAGCATGTCACATTCAAGGAAGCCCTGTTCAAGAATAAAACTTTCAAACACCAAATGAACATGCTGAGAAGCGACGGACAGGATATACGGACTGAGAATCAACAAGACGTCGCTGTCTCCCATGGACACGAAGCGATTGATCGCCATCAACGGAGTCACCACTTACACGTACGGACACACGCGCATATTAAACAATTAAAAAACGCACAATATATATACATCATGGAGAAAATTTATTACAGCCCACGCGGGTACTGGAAAGGCACGGACACCTTCCCGAAACTCGCCAAAGCCGCTAGAGTCTCAGAAGACGTCACCAAAGCTTGGCTTAGAAAACAAGCTATCTGGCAAGTTAACCTGCCGGCGCCTCGGTACATCCCGAGAAGAAAATTCGACATTTCGACGTCGAATTGCATTCATCAAGCCGACCTCCTGTTTCTACCTACAAAACCTACAAGTATGCCTTGACAATCGTCGATGTTGCCAGTCGCTACAAGGAAGCCGAACCGTTGATGAAGAAAGATTCGAACGAAGTCGCCAAAGCTTTATAACCCATTTACAAACGCAGTTGCTTAACCTGGCCTGCCATATTGCAAATCGATCCCGGACGCGAGTTCATGGGAGCCTTGTAGCAGCTGCTGGCCAAGCACAGAGTCCAGGTAAGACGAGGCGTGGCCGAAGCACACCGCAGCCAAGCCATAGTCGAGAGATTCAATCGCACCTTAGCCGAACGCCTGTTCTCACACCAGTACTCGCAGGAATCCCGGAAACAGAAACACAGAATGGGTCGAAAGCTTGCCTCGAGTGGTGGCTGCCATCAACAACGAAGTCACCAGACTCGTGGGTAAGAGACCCGTAGAAGCCATCAAAATGAAATCTGTCGCCGCAAAATCAGCAGCGGCATGTCGCGATAAAACAGAAAACAAATTACCGGACAATGTCAGCATTAGGTACTTGTACCAGTCGAAGGAATAGGAGGGAGACAGCAGAAAATGCACCACCGATTTGATATGGTCCATGAAAACGTACAACATAGACCTGGTCGACATCAAGGACGGCGAACCGAACTTGTACTACTTGAAAGACGGACCGCCGAGAGCATTTGTCCAAGAGCAGTTGATGATCGTACCTCACGACACAGTACCTTACAGATCGTCCGCTTTTGAATAATTCCTTTGATTGTGTGTGTGTGCTATTAGTTGTAGTATGATATGTTACTGTGACTGCAGAGGCAAAGTATTTTCGCTGAGCCAAGACACACACACACACTGTGACTCGCTCACCGCACTCGTTCAACCTAGGAAAACGACAACTGTGAACTGTGACCTCTGAACTGTGACGCTAGCCCAACAAGACTAGGAAAATCAATTACCAAGACTAACGGGAGCTGTGGTGGCTCAGTCCGCTAAGCTGCTGGGGTCAGCTTGCTTTTGTCCAACTGTGTGATTTGTGAGTTCGTATCCTGTCTAGCCTCTATGAGTTCCTTGCAACTTCCGAAACTTTGGAGTAAGGTTATCTAGAACAGGGCACTCTCGTCGAGAGAAAGCAGCTGGATGCAATCCCACGAGCGAGGAAGCCTTGCACATCACATCTATCTCATTTTTTTCTCCCTCGTTGGGGTTGTGACAGCAGCAGACATTTTGCTAAAACATTTCAGCCTCGCTACTTTATAACGAGTACAGCAATACGCGGAACATTTAGCCCTTTGACAGACGGACCCCCATGCTCGGTAAAAGTGCTTATTTCAGAAACTATTCGACCGATTTTCGTGAAATTTTGCATCCACCTCCTGTAGTAGTACACACAATAGGGGTTCCACACAATTGGAAATTAAGGCCTTGGGAAGGACCTGGTCCAGAATCCCTATTGTGTATACTACTACTTACAAGACCATATTAAATATCATATTTCGTTACAGTCAAAATCATGTCACATTACTCCAGTCCTCACATCACTTCACTGGTTCCCCATTGAATCACGTTTAAACTTTCTCTGCACTGTCATAATTGCGCAGATTTATGCTCATGTTGTTGATCACTGGATTGTCTGGTCCAGACTCGATTATTTACAGACCGCCGCCATATGGCGGGAATATTGCTTAGTGCGGCGTAAAATTAAACTCACTCACTCACTCTAATTGATAATGATCCCAGCAGGTGTAGCCCCAAATGCAGATTCCATTAGTCTCTGAATCTTTGGTCTCCCTGGGGCTCCTTTTCAATTTATATGGGTTTGTTTATCGAAATTATATATATTGCCAGACTACGCGATAGTCTAATATATTTGGCATACTCTTTGCTACGCAAGGAGAAAACAAAACATCAAACTTTCAGACTCACCATTCATTGGATGTTGCTAGAGGAAAAATCTTGCGGTTTAGGCTGACACATGTTTACTTTTCATATGCTAGTTCTTCTCTTATCTCGAATGTGTTTTATAAATTAACTAAGAACTGGCACATGCTGCTTTCACATGTAGATTATAGTCTTGATGCAAACATTAAACTCACATGCTGGTGTAAACAAGTGTTATATCATCCCCAACAATGTTGCTTCTTGCTCTGAACACCTTGTTGCTGTGGGGATCGGCGTTCTCTGACACAACAGGGGATACATTCAGTTTTTGAGGCCAAGTGGGATAGCCAAGTAGATATATCATTCGGCCGTGTTCGGTTCCCCTTACAGCTTCAATATTTGAAGCCAATTTCTAGTGTTATATTGAAATATTGTTAAAATCCAGACTTATTCACATTGGGTTTGTTGTACAGATGCAAGGAACAGTGAATACCTACACCCCGAAGCCATGCAGTCTTTCTAGAGCTGATAGAAAGGGAAAATATAGCATTACACAATATGAACCCTTATGATATATCAAGTATTCTTGATGACGATATATCATCTACTTGAGTAAGTGAGTTTGGTGTTAAGGCACGTGTAGCAATATTTCAGCAATGTTACGGTGGGGAACACCAGAAATGAGCTTCATTACACTCTATTCATGTAGGAAATCGAACCCGAGACTTTGGCGCAACTAGCGAACGCTTTCACCACTGGGCTACCCCACTGTTCCTTTACATCTAGAAGCTGAAACAAACTAAATGTCTAAAGGCTGCCCAGTCAGTTTAAATTGTACAGTGAGTTACCGGCTTACTTTGTTTACTCTTATCTTGTTTACGTTCTATTTTCTACCTGACAAATGTCACATGCTGCTTCCACGTGTAGATTCCAACCTTGAATCAAATATTTATAAGCCCATGTTTGCCAACAGAATGATTAAAATACCTCAGCAGAATGTTCTTAGCAGTTCTGTGCGCCTTGTTTCTGTTGGGATCGGCGTTCTCCGACACAACCGTCACAATCTACAACGAGTGGCTTTCCCAGGGTGGACGTGTCCATTATGAAACTGAACGATGGAACAAAATTAATGGTCTCACCCACTTGAACTTAATTCCAAAGATGAAATCCATCGGGACTGCTCCTGGGCGTTGGCTTCATCCTGATCTGAGCAATGATCTCTTTCAAAATGTACGTATGGGATAAAAAAAAATACCCAAACATTTCAGAAATGATTTGAGGGACATGATACAACCCATGCATGATTTTAATGTCCTTGTACGTCGCTGAGTCGATGTATTGGTAGGTATGCTGTAATATACCATATGTTTGGCTTTCTCAAAACGAGAATTGGGGAGACCAACTTTGCTGCTACAGATTATATTTTCCATAATCAACTCAATGTTCTTTTCTATAATCATATTGCATCGATGTATTCTTACTAAAAGAAAAATGTCTGAAGTATAACTATGTTAATGAACATCATATAACATGATCATGTATTGTTACAGCTACCTACATATATTACTGTGTAATACCTCCTTTGTTATTCCCATATTTCAGTTACTCTATTCGGAGAACCCACATTTTCATTGTTCCTGACAATAAGGTTATGCCAATATGAACCTATATTTTTTCATAGAGAAAACTTACAAACTTGATTTGTATTATTTCATTGTATACAGTGGCCCCAGAGCCACAGCCACCATGGTTATCCAGATCCTTCCTATCTCCAAAACCATGCACTCCAGTCAAAGACATGGGCGTCGTACATGATACAACTAAATGGCTACGGAAGTGTCATCGACAACATGATATGGGAATTAAAAGGTTTCGTAAAGACATCAAATCAGTACAAAAGTATACCCAGCTAACAAGTTGTCCCAGCGTCATGCTTTCGACTGTGGACTCCCATTTATCATTTATTTTTACGTCGTCACAATGCTAAAGTTACTTGATGCTAACGTATTCACGTTGTCATATTGTTATATTTAACGTTAATATTTGAATAGATGTCTCAGTAGTGAACGGTACATAAGAATCAAAGCAGAAATTCCCTTCAATGTTTACTCGTCAATTTGCACGTTCTTTTGTGTGTTTTCTGAAGCTGTAACTGAATAGTGAAGAAAGAATCTCAAAGTGAAAAGTGAAAACCCTATTGTGACACCAAGTTTTAGTGTAATAGTTGATCCGCAACGTGTTGACAATGTATATATGTAACGTTGCTGTAACGTTGTGACATAACGTTATAAGATGTCGTAATACTAACGTTGTGATAACTTTGTGTCAGGACGTTACCAATCTACAACCTTCCCACAACGTTGCGAAAACAGTGTGTGTTAGCTGGGTATACCAATTATTATAGAAAACAAATATGTGAAATGGGTGTCCAAGTGTCCTGCGGCTAGTTCATCTTGACCTGATAAAGTGAATACTTATGCATTGCGTGACCGTGTCACAACTGGTCGAGTCCATTATTGTGAGGGGGTGCACCCTTGTCAGTTGCAAAATTGTAAAAAGGACTACTTGGACAGAAATATTGCGGTTTATCATGAAATATAAAATTTGGTATTTGAACTGGGTGTAGAGAGTGAAAGCGAATGTGAATCGGATCGTGAAGGTAACTGACGCTGGTACGTTGTTAAGTTAGTAAACCAAGCCAGATAGCATATGACTGTATAAACAATTCAATTAAGACATGAAATGATATCTTTCAGAAGTGTTGTTTCCCGGGACAAGTTCTTCTATGAATTAATGTATGCATGCTTCGCAGGAGCGCAACATTGAAAACATTCTCTGCTCCCCTATTTAATGAAGTTAACTCGGGTCATGCATATATTGAGTAGCTCATGTCAAGCTGAACAAGCTCTAGCCTCCACAACAATGTCAAATTACGTGAATGGCAAGTACTTTTGGAAGGGCAACACATACTTAACCTTTTCCGGAACACCTAGCTTCATCACCGATTTTCAGTGGCCGATCAATTTACTTTTCGCCCTATACTCGTCGGTTTCTGAGGATTGTCATAACGGTGTGTTCTTTCTAACAGGCATGTTATATTCCTGGTGCCATTTCACTCAAAATATCCATGTCAGCACAATGTCAGTTATCTCGCAAACAGTCCCACCATCACTTATTTTCTTACGAGTTGAACACTGGGTGAATGACTTTGCCATATATCTTTGAAATGTGCATGTACTTTCTTTTCAGGGCTGAACTGGCCAAGCTGGATAGATAAGTCTCCTCATCAAGGCGGATTCCCCAACAACGTTGACGCTGCATCAGAGTTTGTGTCGCTGATGGTGCAGAGTTGCAAAGACTTCACAGGAGGAAGAATTCCCCACATATTTGAAGTCATAAATGAACCTGATTGGGCCGAGAAGATTATTGATCAACAAACGAATATAAACTACCACAAGGTCGTTGCCCAAAAGTTGAAATCAAGATTTGGAATGAAAATTGCCGGCCCAACCTACACTAGTATGGCCCTAAGAAGAGCGGACGAAAATAATTTCAGCTACTGGAACAGAACTGCTAAGTTTATGGACATGTCTCTCGATCATTTGGACTTTTTCTCTTTCCATGCCTACAATTACGTACGTGTATCTGGTGGAAGTCACAACTACTTTGGCATCAACGAAGCTCGTCTGGTCGCTTCTATTGACATGGTGGAGAATTACTCGCATCTCAAGAAAGGAAAGACAGTGCAATTAATTATTAGTGAATTTGGAAGGGGTAACATTTTTGGAGTTGCCCCTGATTTTGTAAATGGAATGACAGATTTTGAGCTCATTTATCAACCAAACGGCTTCATGTTTACTTTTCTCAACCTGAGAGAGTTTATTGAAAGAGTTGTTGTGTTTCTACACGACAATGAGCAACGTCCTGGCCACGATTACCTTCGAACCTCCTTGTTTACCAAAGATGGTCATTCGCTTCACGCGACCAAATTTATCAATTTTTGGCATAAACTTACTTATGCACAAAAGTTTCTTCGTGTTTCTAGTCAATACGATGGACAGGAAAGAACGGTTGTACCTCTTGTCCTTGCAAACCCTCTCAGTAAAGAGATGGTAGTTCTTCTTCACAACTATGGCAGTAAACCTGAGAATGTGAAACTAAATTTTCCAAACAGCTGGATCAACCCTTCTACGGGTGAACAGACATGTATTATTTTCGAAAATGGTAACCCAGCTGTTCATCCCAATACCCGTTTCAGCATATCTAAGGTTCATGGCACCGTTGGTCTGCCCGGATCATCAACCTGCTTGTACACGTTCAAAACAACCTTCAACTTTGGCAGAATACACACCGACAACCAGAACACATACTACGGTAAAGACATGGTCATTCCAATCAACAATGGACATGCACAGACCACCATCCATCTTCCAAGCTCTGGCTACCACTCAGCGCATCTCAGAGTCGGAGTCAGTAGAGACAAGAATGTCAATACAAAGCCCAATCGAGTTGCGTTCAATGGCCACACGTTGTCCTCAAGCTACATGCTGTTTGATGCTATGAAGACTGAAGGGAAAACATCATGGAACGTATGGGAGTTCCTAGTCCCTGCATCACAGGTCCACGCAACAAACACAATCAGCATGACTTTCGGTGGGCACGGTGGTCATGTGTCATCCGTTGCGCTTGTTGTTGGTAAACTTCAGTAAATAAAGTTATCTTGAGAAGAGATTTGTTCCGCTGATGCAGGGGGCGGTTGGGTAGTCTGGTGGTTAAAGCGTTTGTTCGTTACACTGAAGACCCCGTTCGATTCCCCACATGGGTAAAATGTGTTAAGTCCATTTCTAGTGTCCCCCACCGGGATATTGCTGGAGTATTTCTAGAAGCGTCATAAAACCCTACTCACTCCCTCACACATTTGACGCAATGGTTATGGTGACAGCGTGAGTGAGTAAATATTTACCTTCACATTGGCAATAGTTCAGCCATATCGTGACGATTCTGAAACTCATTAGTTCCAGATTTCATGGATGTGGTCAACATGTGGCTTCATTAATGGACATCAAATGTAATACAGGTGACCAAAATAAAGATATTGGGTGTATATAACCTGTAGCTGTAATGTGAAAGTATTTGCTTGTGTATGAGTGAGTGAGTTAAAATCTAACGTCACATCGGCAGTATTTCAGCCATATCGTGACGAGAACAATTAATTTTATACATAGTAAGTAAAGGTAAATTGTAAAAACCTGTCAACGAAGGACAGTAAAATAACTAGATTACCACAGATTCGAATTTAAAACTAGTGATTTAATCTAAAACATTTCAACTATAGGGTACAGCACAACAGAACAATAGGCTGCTTGTGTATGAGGACATAGAGATGCATAATGCATACAGTTTAGACATGGTGTGTAAGAATTAATTACTAAATTTTACCTTGGTCCATTCTGAAAAAGAGGAAAATGTTTAAACTAAAATCATGTCCTGTTCAATTGGAACCAGTTGTATATGTAACAATATTACAGAAAGCAGAACACTCATTAGACGTTAAACTGATCATGGTGAGGACTCCATCTTGAAACGTGTCTTGTTAATAAAGTGAGTGAGTGAGTTAAAATTTAAAGTCACATCGGCATTACTTCAGCCATATCGTGACTAAAACTAGTTCTAAATTCATAATACACACATATAATATATAAAACCCTTTCAATGAAGGACAGTAAAATTACTAGATTATCACAAAATGAGTTAAAACTAGCTAGCATATATCTTTAAAAGCACAAAACTATTTTTGAACAATACAATGTAAAAATGGGCTAGTAATCGCCAACAACTGAAGGTAGATCACCATACTACGAAAGATTGGGGACTTATAGTGCCTTTGCTACCTGCAAGGACCCTAGCTGGATTTACACCATCCCTTCTAGCCATTGGCGTTTATGCTGAGATTTAGCCATACATTAAAATGACAAAAATCCTACGATTAAAAACCTGGTAGACTTAAATTGACTTGAAATGTTTTTGGATTTACGTACCCTCTCAGGAGGACGATATGTTTACACTACCTCAACCCCCTTCGAAGGCACAGCCACATACAAATTCAGTTTTTCAATTAAATCACCAATACTAAAAATGCATGTTTATACAAAACATATGAATCAAAATTCATCAATCAGTTCTATTTCTTTTAAAACTTCGATAATGAAATGATAATGGACATTATTATAAAGATCCTTAACAGTTTTTACTTTGAAATAGTTATCCCTTATGGTGGAAAATTCAACACAGTCAAGCAGGACATTGTTAATAAAGTGTTTCCTGTCTGGATGCAAGCTGGTTCTGTATTTCACATTCTACTGAAAGAACAAATCCGGGTTAGAATTGGTCTTCAGCAAACCATGCTTGTCGACTTATGGGATCGGGTGGTCAGGCTTGCTGACTTGTTGACACATGCCATCGTATCCCAATTGCGTAGATCGATGCTCATGCTGTTGTTCACTGGACTGTCTGATCCAGACACGATGTGAAATAATTGTTTGGCTTTTTTATTTGTCTATCGCTACATTCACCAGAATTGCGTCAGCTACATCAGCAACCATAACAACCATCCAATGTAGTCGCCTCTTAGGTGAGGAATAGGCTTCTGTAGAGCAATTCTTGCAAATCAAAATCTTAAAGAACAAAATTGTTTTGAAAGGAACTTGATAGGCCACTACACCTGATATCAACGTATACTGTCAGACAACAGACTGTACACATCACGTTTGATAGCATCTAAACTGAAACGCATAATGCAGCCTTATCAACTTGGGGCGCTCTTTGAAACGACAAAGGCAATGATGGTTATGTTTTAAGTATGTGTTCTGTGTTTCAATAAATGAATTCTGCTTGTAAATAAATTTAAATGTTTCATCAACTGGTACATTTTTGGTGGACTGTTTATGTCAAATCTCGAACAAAGATACTCAATAACCCGTTGCACCTGTACGGTCTAACACCTGTTGCCTGACACTTGATAGCATGTGACTTGCAATTTGAGTTGTACTTCTCTCACGATCTATCTACAAAAGGTAGGCAGATAAGCGTAATGTACTGTTAACAGTGGTGTTCATGGTGGTCGTATGGAACATCAAGGATTGGCTGTATTTTTATTTTCGTTTAGATAAACGCTATAGATAGTCTTATGACTTTTATGAACTCATGTTGTTGTCTGAAAGTGCTACAAAAATAAACATTTCCAAACATATCAGTAAGTCTGAAATCAGATGTACTTTTCTAATGGTCTGGGGATGCATTTTTACCTTATAACACACCAGCAATGGGTCTCCCACAATTCGACCATGTAGGGAATGAACCTGGGTATTCAGCGTTACGAGTGAACGCTTTAACTACCAGGATGCCCCTTCCGGTCAGTTTACTTCCCGTGAAGATCTGGATTAGAAGTGCTCTTCAGCGACCCATGCTTATCTTTAGAGTCGGCTAGCGGGATCGGGTGGTCAGGCTTGTCGACCTTGTATATACATGTCATTATATCCCAAATGCGTAGATCGATGCTCATGCTGTTGATCACTGGATTGTCTGGTGCAGATTCGATTATTTACAGACCGCCATCATATAGATCCTGTTAGTCGCCTCTTATGAAAAGCATCCGTTACTGAAGATCAATTCTAACCCCGATCTTCATGTGTAGACTTCGGACTAAATATATCATGCTGAAGATCAATGCAAGAATTGTTCTACAGAAGCCTATTCCTCACCTAACAGGGGACTTCATGGGAGGGTTGTCATGATTGCTGGTGTACCTGATGCATTTCATCGTATCCCAGTTGACACATAGACACGGCTTGGATAGTACTCATTTCACAGTGGACAATGACCGTGCACAACTATCGAACTCACTTGACCACTGACCACAAACTAGTTTCATCCGGTTTCAATTTTAACTATAAAAACCCCTCTGAGAATGAGTTGAGGTTATCACTCACTACATATGTTTTGAGTTTGTCTTGACCATCACCAAAACAACCCAAATAAATAGAATTTCAAATTTATTTCAAACTTACCGGTATTCACATTCCATATTTGAATATCCAATCCATATTGTCATTGTATCCTTCCTTGTAATGCCAACATATGTTTGTGATTGTTTCAAATTCCATACTAGCCAAGTGTATCCAATGGGGGTGAACTCTAGGATGATATTGAGATGTTATACCCAAATCCCATATTTTTGTGATCGTATTGAATGAATCAACCACCAAAAAAACATGAGACTGATATACACTTCCATGTAAATATAACATATATGTTATATTTGGAATTGTGTGGTACAAAGAGCTCTCTCACAGTGCTAGCAGAGACGCGATCTGGTGACCCACATTTGCGTGTGTGGGACTTTGCTGTGGCGGAGGGGAGGGGAGGGAAGAGGGCGGGGGGCACTGCTGTGGCAGGGGAGGGAACTTTCTGTCGACAGTTAGCCTGGAGATTTCTCGCGAGTGTAAACAACCTATGTAATGGTGGAATTAGCAGCCCCCTGAATTACTCCCTACTCTCAAACTAAATAGTATGATTTTGTATTGAATGAATGCATCATAATAAGACAATACTTGATGTATTTTAAAACCAAAAACATCCATAAATAAAATGCTACATTTTAATTAGAATCAACACTAGTTAGGGCGTGTGTGTCAGCTTTTACTGTAGAAATATACGTTCTCATCATGGATATTGTACGTGCGCTTCCAACATATATATGAATGCAACTTTCATGGAATTCATCTAAAATTGTATCAGGAATGGGGTGTAATTGTATAGTGTTAGCATGGAAGAATAATCATAAATGTATGCATGACAATGCACTGGTGTATATTATTATTATATGGGTATTAATATAGCACTATAGTCCATCTCGCATGCATGCTCAAAGCGCTGGTAATTTTTCCTTGGATGTCAATCAGCCATATTACCATTCTCAACTCCCTGGAGAGTATCTTGCTGCCACTAGGCACACCAAGTTAATGTGGTTTTCCCATCCTAACGAGGTGTACATGACAAAAAAACAAGATATACTGATTTCATTTTTGTATTTTATCTCCGTTTCAAACCAGAAGAACTACGGGATAGGAGCTTTCCCAGAAGACTACTTTACATCTGTTGTGAATTGTCTTATTGCTCCTCCTCATCGTCCTGTCCTTCACTCTCTTCATCAGATGTTTTGTCTTCATCTTCAGTCAAGCCTTCGACACAAGAATTATATTGGTACAATTGGAAAACACATCATGATACATATTATTCGTGTCTTGTACTTGTTTCAGTATTCCTTGTGTGTTTGGACCCCACTGCATATGATACAGAATCCTGTATCTGAATACGTGCTTTGGCCTGTTGAACGACTTGTTGGGTTGGAGAAGTGAGTGCAAAAGTCTCTTTAGATTGGGGTAGGTCCATCGTTACCCATTGTTTCTCATAATAGATCACATAATCATCAACGTTAGTAAACGGATTGGGATATCCTTTAGCCTGCAAGTAGTAATATTTGGTCTAATTCTTAGGGTCGTCTAGATAGGGTCTCCAGTATCTCCTGTTCATTTTCTTGTTCAGAATGAATACTGACTCTCACACAGAGGTTTCAGATGAAGTGTCACTATCACTGGTCCTAGGCTAAATAAAGCTAAATCACCGTTTCTGTCCTTTATATAGATGTCTCCTAGCCCTAATTCTAACT